AAGTACAAGACTTGAACACGTGTTTTTAATACAGAGAGTAACCTAATCTTATTTGCATATTCTAAAAAATTGCAATATCTTGGGCGATGAATTTCCATTGATTTAATACACTACACTTATTAAGGAATTAGATAGTCACAACTTTAAAATCTCTTTTTAAAATCTCTCTCAAAGTGTGTATTTCACTCTCAAGAGTCAATTTTAATTAAGTTGAGCCAAAACTGAAAAAACTTTTACCTGAAAAGTACCTCAATTAATTTTCACCTTTTTCTTTGTCATACTCATTAAAAGCTATGGATCAAATTTTACATCCAACCTGCCTAGAAGTTACAGTGATTAATTGCTAGTAAAAATTAAATTTCCATCCGATGATGTAGTCAAGTAATTCCCCGATTAACTCTATAAATAAAAAAATTGCCAATTAAAAAAAGCCGAATGACGTGGCAGTGAGAGTCCAAAATATGGGACATTAAATTGTATATACTTCTCTTCATGCGATTGAGTAATACATAGTATTACTGAACACATCATAAATTTAATTGTATCCTATATATATTGCATCGTCCATGGGATCATTCCAATAATGACCGAAGAAAACAACATATATAATGTTTTCTAATTAATTATCATATTTAAGTTGCATCTTTCATTATATATATATTTTTCAGTAGGTAATTTTTGTAAAAAAAAAAAAAAAAAAAATCCATTATTTTTTTTGAAGTAATAATAAACAACACAATGAATTTGGGAATGATACTAAAAGTTTTATTTTCAAAACCAATAATAATACTAAAGCTTGAGTAACAACGATTAAATGTAAAAGTTATTGTCTGTAGGTGATATATAATAACCTTCGAAAATTCAAAAAAAAAAAAAAAACAAAAAACCACCACCACCACGACATCGACAATCCGCAAACCTCTAATGATTTTTATTTTATAACCTCAAATCTTTTCATCTCTATATCTAATGACATTAAAATCAATTAGTAACAACCTCAGTTCACCCATTCTTGCTTTGAAAGAGAAATAATTTCAGCCCAAAGCTGTCTTCTCAATACTGTACCATAATCCCATAATCCCATAGATGAAGCTACAATAGAGAGATTGGAATACTCTAGCTTGCTAGCTTTGATTGTAGGCAGCCCTTAAGAATTTATAGTGCACTTCCACCTTCTTATTTTCTTTAAATATATATTCTTACAAAAATCTACTTTTCTTATTTTAGATATATAAGATCTTTAGTGCAATTTAGTCACATAATAACATTTAGAAAAATCTAAAATAGATTCTTGTAAGCGTTTTTTATATTTTCTCAAGATTTCTCTCTTGGAAGAAGATTCTAAAAAAGTGTGTCAAAATTTTTCACTCTTACCGGATACACTCAAAGATTCTAGAAAAGCGTATCAAAATTTATCAACTTTACCCTTTATTTTTTGTAATTATGTATTATTCAATTTTATTAAATTAGAACATGTTAATTTATTCTCTAAAAGGGAGTTGATATCGTGGCACTCCAATTCACTGTATTATTAAAATAAAAAAACTATATTGCCCTCTCCCTTATTTCTACAAAGATGAATTTTCATTCACTTTATATACATATATATATATAAACTCAAAGAGTAGAGAGAATAAAAGATGCAAATATATATATATATATATAAAAGAGTAGACACCAAATTAGAGAAGCAAAGACGACAATTGTTTGTCTTCATAGTGAAGGGGGACTAGGGAGAGATCAGGTGAGTTGATTCGGTGAGTTGCAATAATATTGGAGGATCGGAGGATTTGTGGTGCGCAGCATCCTTTCCAAATTTCATACCCAAATTTCACCCCTTTCAAGTTTTAAACTTGTTTGTTAGACTACCAATTTAAGAATAATATTAGTTTTGGCACTACAATTCTAAATTTCATCCCTTTCAATTTTTAACCATTAGTTATCGGCACGACAATAAATATTTAAACAATTATGGAGTGATCAAAAGAATTCTCAACACAGGTGGGAAAAGTATTTTGTAAATAAGAAGACGTACTAATAATTGTCAAATTCAGAGCCAGAAATATATTAGAGTACTAATATCAGTTTTTTATAATTAATCTTTATTTGAAAGAACATTTTAAAGATTTTCTTAATTTTAGAAAAACAGATTAATTATTTAATTCATAAATTGAGAAAAAAAAAAAAATCTATTCTGGTTTCATACTTGTCAATTAATCAATTTAAACGTCAACCCAGTATCAAAGTCAGAAACGTATAAGATGAAGTACACACTAAGCACGGTTCTGGACACTTTTTCGGAGCACCCAAGTCTACTAGTTGATCCACACACCCGTACGTGTTAGTGTGTGTGTGTGACAGATATAGAGAGGGGGTCTAATCATGTATAGCCGTCTGGCAATTGCAGTCCTATATCCCAATTGATGGGTGTCATTCTCAAGCGTGCAAAAACCTCTCACTTTCACGTGCTCTATCCCATATTCTCCTCTCATTATCCCTATATTATCATTTTGTCCTCCAATTTTGAATCATACTTCACTTCTACGACTGCGATTAATTGACTTTGCCAAGCCACTTGAATTAAAATTAAACCAATCAACTTTATTTTTAATGATGTTTAGAGCAAAAATTAAATAGAGTTATATGCATGGTACCATCTCTAGCACACAATTCCATAGTACCAATAGTTTGGGTCAAGCGATTTGCTTTCCCTAAGCAATAGGTGTCGATCTCTAATTTGAGGTTGTGGGATGTGCTATAAATTGCTTTTTCGGCTTTCCCCTGCGTGAATAATCTCTCTCTCTCTCTCTCTCTCTCACACACACACACAATTTTAGCAACATAACATGAAGTTGACTCATATATACATAAAATTGGAGGCTTGATAGAATTTGATAAAATAATTAAAAAAAATTGAACTAAAATTTTTTCAAATTTCAATCATATGTATCCGAATACGCCTTAAGTCTATTTATATTTAAATTATGATAAGTAGTTTGAAAGTAAAACACATTTGACTATTTTATACTAAATAAAAAATAACATCATCATAATATCATTAAATATGATAAAATCATCGTTACGTTATTCATTGCTCTTATAAATTTAGTGAGGGTGTGACCAACGATCAAATCATGTATCATTACTCATTCATATTTGTATGTGTACATCCATATATACATGCTTTCTTTGCACGCATGACACAAATAATCCAAAAATGTTTAGTGGGGCAGCCTTACCCAACTTTTTTTGTTATTTTATTTGGGGTGAATTGCATAAATCTTCCGTGGCTTGTAGCGTCTTGCACTAAATCTTTTTTAATTTTATTTAATTTTTTTGTTAAAAAATATATAATATAACGAGGAGGGTTGATGCAATTTACCCTTTTATTTTTGCATGTCAAGATAATTGATTAAGGTTATGACCTTAAATCTAGTAGAATGACTCCAAATAATTGTGAAAAAAAATTATTTGTGGTGGTGGCTCTAACTTCCGATCTCCCTTTAATAATATGTCTACTTTGATAATTAAACACTTTTAATTGTTGGGTTGTGGCTCAAATTCTTGATAAGAATATATTTTGAAAATTAATTTGCAATCGGTTGGCACTTGGGCAGTAGTGAGCTTCGAGAAAGTACAATAAAAAATTAGTTGCACTTGCTCGATGAGTGTGGGACGCAGTTTTCTTTTTCGTTTTAGATGCTTGAAGACTTGTGGAGTAAGACTAAAGACGTAAGAAGGAAGTTGTGGCTTATTAGGCTATTACTTTAGAGTTGATGATTGATATGATAACTCCTTATTAAGCAAGTTGTGAAATTCTTGTCTAACAAGAATTGAGTTTGAAGACTCCATAAATAAATAACGGTTTGGAAAGAGACAGGAGAAAGATGTAGGGCTTGAAATGGTGAGTATTTTGAGATGAGAATATATGTAATTCCTGATAATGTAGACTGAAAAAGTTAATAAATGAGTGAGTGGGGTTTTGACATCTATGGTTGTATATTTTCTACATTGATATATAATAGTAAAATCTCTTTTCATGGACGTAATCCTAGAATTGGTGAACCATAAAAGCTATTGTGTTGTACGTGAATGCATATGACTGTTATCTTCATATTTGTGTATGATATAGCTGTGTATGTGTTATTAATGATGTGATACTAATATTTATATTGTATGTGATAAAAAAGAGATTTAATTCTCAACAATTACTGGCCAAGAGCTTATGATAATGATCCATGCACCACCCCATGCATGCGGGCACTTTATACAAATAGCCCATGCCTATATTGTGGACAATCTCTTTTGGTGAAAGAATGTCTTCATCTAAGGCTAAAAGGACAGATATCATCTATCAGCATCACTTTTTGGTCAGAGGTTAAACAGTCCACAACAACCATATTCTTAATTTTTTTTGGTTAAACTGTCAACACCATCGACTTTGCATGTAAGGGCCTCTAATTAATGATCTGCTCACTCTGTACAAGGAACTACATTACACAAATTTCTTGTCTCTCTCTTTCAAAAGTCCAACTAAAGATTCTAAATATTCCAAACCATGACTAAACTCCACATGTGCAAAATAAGCATTTTCTTTCAGGATTAGAATACTTAGTAATTGAAAAAATAAAAAAAATAAAAACACAACTACTACGACCTTTAGAGAAATTTTCTAATACTATTCTTACATAATAAAGCGTGTTGAAGTTAGTAGTGAAGGCTTCTTTAATAGATATTTCAGAATATCGTGACCTGAGTATCTCAACTATTGAATGCGATGGTAAGACTCATCTGATAAATGATTCAACGGTTGAGAAATCCCGAAATACGTACTAAAATATTGTAGAACTTCTCTATAAACAGAACCTTTTTGAAGTGTATTTAATGATTCTATACGTTAGTCATTTCACTCTGAGTGGTTTTGGAGTGACAATATGCCTACTGCAAGAAAGGAAGAATTTTACATTAATTGAACTATCAACTCTTTTTTGCAATAACATATTCCTTGGCGAAATTCCAAATCCATGATTTAAGAACAGAACCACAAATTGCTGGCAAAAGTAAAATAAACAAGTTTATACTCTTAAAACTTTAAGTCTTTACCTAGTTTCATTACTGAATTTTCACTTGATACAACTATAGCTTTTGCATTTCTGATATGTCTAAATCTACTTTACATTATCTAACTGATTTTAATCAGCATTTGTAAATATCATTTTGAGGTATCGATGCTGGATTTCCCTCAAACAAGCAATAAACTGGTGGAATGGTGAGTGTCCTCAGATCTCCATAGGCATTCCAACAAAATGGATCCAACACAACCTGTCCCTGAGCAGGAAGCAACTCCACCTCCGAAAAAGTGAGGTTGGCACAGGGGACTGTGTCGCTGCAGGCCAGACGAATTGGCGGGCTTCTGACATCATAAGTACCCTTAATGTTTTCATACAAGATGTCGGAAATGGATACTGCAGAAGTCTGGTTGATGCAGCCCTTGGTTTGACAGTAGTATTGGTCAATCATGATGGGGTTCCGGACAGTGTCCATGCGAATATTGTTGAAGGTAACCTTATATACTGCTCCTGATCCACCTTGCCATGTTTTAATCCTTACCCCATTATCAGAGTGCTTGATGGTAGAGTCTGTCACTGTGATATTTGATACACAGGCTCGGGAATTACGGCTGCCTAGGCTGCCAATGCTGCACCAAGAAATTAGTATTTGATTTTGTAAAGACTTTGAAACCTCATGACAAAAAGGGATTGTTTTTGGCCATAGCCTTCAAAAAAAATTGTGGGTGTGAAGCTCTGAGACACTCCACATGGTCTTATTAACTCCATGTAAAATTCACAAATACGGATAGGTCAGAAAAATGGCTAGTGTATCAGAATTTTGGTAGTTCTGTTCATCAGAATTTTGGTAGTTATGTTCATTGTTCACTTATGTTTAAATTGGGATAATAATAAAAGGGTAAAATTGACATTTATAGAAAATGATTTATATATATTAAAGTTGATCAGAGACTAGTTTAGAGGCCTAAACTTCCCTCCAAAACTTGTTTCTTTAAGAAACTAAAGCCTGAAGAACAGAGATTATAAAAAGGGCAATGAAAGTACCTTATTCCATGACTTGGACCACATGTGATGTTCTTTATGTCTACATTATAGCAACCGGTTCCAATCGATACACAGTCATCACCTACACAACAGGTTAGGAAAGAAACAATATGAGTTTGATCTAGAGTTGTAAATCAAAAAGGAATAACTTTTGAAAGCTTCTTGAATTACCATTGGCAATGACTGAATTGTATATTTTTACATCATATGTGTTCTCTATGTGAATTCCATCCGTGTTGGGACTCTGTGGAGGTGCTTTTATGTAAAGCGAATTTACAAGAACATCCCGGCAACTGTCAAACCGAAAATGGAACTGGGGGCTGTTTTTGATTCGAAGTCCTTGGACCGTCAAGTTAGAGCTCTGAAAGAACCTCAAGGCCTGTAAGTAAAATAAATAAAAAAAACAAAAAAATGATTACTTTCATGACCAAGTGAATAGAACTTGTAGAAAGTTAGTGAAATGTGTGTGTGTGGCTTACAACTGGGCTGTCACAAGGACCTGGAAGTGTAGTTCCATTTATTCCCTGTTTCAATAATAGACAGATTGGTCAATTGGGAGCTTTCTGAAAGCATACATATATGTATATATTACAAGTAAAAGTTTGCTTACTTTGTGGGGTTTGCAAGGAAGATTCCACCATTTCTCTCCTCGACCATCTATTTGGCCACCCCCTTGCATTGACATCCCATCGAGTCTGTAGAAGACCAGCCATTGTCGCCTACTGTTTTGTTTAGGCCACGAGTCTGGTCCATCCGGTGGCATAAGAGTCGCATCGAGCTTTACAACATCAATCAACAAAGAAAAACACATGTTAAGAACTTATCAGTATCTCTTAAAATTTGTAAGGCAAAGTTTCGAATATAATGGAGTGTCCACAATACCTGAAAGACCAAGCCACTTTTACAAGGGCCAGTGAATATTGTAGATTGTATCATGAAGGAATAGCTACGAGGAGCGAGGACAATGGCTAATTCGACTTGGCAGGCAGCGTCCCAAGCCATCTTGAATGCTTGTGTGTCGTCAGTCACGCCGTCCCCAACAGCACCAAATGATAGTACATTAAAAACTACTGGAGAATTAGGTGAATTCCCATTGGAACCGGGCAAAGAAGCCTCGGGTGCAGGGGAGGGAGGTAGAGAAATCTGTGATAATGCGCGGAGTCTACCCTGAATGGGAAGAAAGAAAAAGCACAAGAAAATGGAGAAAAACAAGATAAAATTCCTAGAGGAGTCCATAGCGAGCTTAGCTTTTTGCTGAGATAAGGTCTCGTACATATATAGAGAGAACAAAATGGAGCAACAAGAAAACTAGGCCACTACTATTCCTATATCAAGAATGTCCTTTTACTAGGTTTTGAAGATCAAACTTGACATTTGATTTCAAGAGTTTATTTGTCAAAGCCCTACAAAACCATAGAATGATGGAATCAAGATGCCCACGTTTTCGGAAGCCGAAAGAAAGCAAGATTGAAGGTGTATGTGTGACCACCAGAAGCACTAAAACCACTTGCAAGACTTGAGTACTTCACACAACTAACTTAGCTGCTGCATGCTTAGGATATTGCAGAATCATCAGTTGATACAAAGTCAGACTTTTATACTAGGAATTTCCTAGTGGAAAGCTACTTTTCAAGTCCAGTATGCACATTAAATTATTTTAATGCGCGCGGAACCGACCAGTTCCATTTAAAGATTGGTCTTTTCTGGTGAGGATTGTGGAGTCTGCACATGAGATTTCAATACAAAAAAGGTGTAGGGAATAAGAATGTATCGGAACCTACAGTGGTAAACCTAAGAACCCCCCATGTTCTTCCCATTACTCTCACTTTCTTTGGTCCCTGAACTAGTATACCTAGCCAAAGAAATATGTTGCTTCAACTTGTTGGAATGGAACCCTTTTTTGGTACTATCATCATCAAATACATTGCAAGAAGACATTACAAATATTAATGGAAGACCATCATGTGTGTTGGTGCTGCCTCTGTTGGGTGTTGAGAAAAATACCAATCGTAGATAATACCGGTCTCGAGCTTTTGTCGTTATCGCTAAGTCCGAGGGTCAGATGTACACAATACTTTCTTAATTTGAGCTTAATGCAAAACTTAAGCATGATTATAAGGCTGACCTGCTAAAAATGCTTTTCATCTTATTTATTTGTTTTCACGAGGCCATGAACAGACCACTTTGGAAAGTGCTGGTGTTGAGTAAGCATAACATAACGACTAATAGCTTTGTGTGCTTTGCATATCTCTGTTTAGCTTCTTTTGCTGACGCTTGTTGATGCCCACTTTGGTTCACCATTTTTATTTATTTTTATATCTGACAGTCTCTGATTGGTAATGGGGTTTTAAATTTGGATTCCATCTATTAAAAAATGAACTGGATAATGCTTTGTATGAGACAACAGAAATCACACTAATTATGGCCCAAACTGAGTGGGGGCGGCAAGAAAATATTATACTTGCATTCCTATAGAGAATAGCACTCACTTAAAATCTGGTACTTTCCTATTCCTATAGGGACTTGGTAGATTTCAGTTCAATTTGAACCATTCATTATCAACGGTTCTGTTTGTATCAGCATTTTTTTCTCTGAATTTTTTTGGAGCACATTTGTCTTCATACTTTATTGATGACCTAAACAAATTTGTAGTGTTCCAAAACCTCCTCATCCAACAGAAATACCAGAGGCTTATGGTTCTCAAGGAACCAAAACAACAACCGTATGAAGACGAGACGGAAACTTCATTATAGTGGTTCCAGAGATTCTCAACGCATTTAAATCACACATTTCAACACATTTATTCTAGATTTCCGCATAGAAAAACGATGAAATGGTGTTTAATCGCGTTTCAACACATTTAGCTGTTGATATCTAAAACAAATGTGTTAAAGACAGATTTAAGTGCGTTGAAAATCTTTACAGCACGCTATATCAAGGACCTGCTGCTGGAGAGGATCGAGCCGCCCATATTCTAAGGTTCATACTGGGAGTATATGCAAGAATAAGAAGAAAAACAGAGTCCGTTCAGTTCATCAACTCAACAAACATTAAAGTCAAAAGACATATTCCTTGAGCATGAAAATACCCTCAAGTTGCCTTTATCCACTAACAACATTTTACACTGGAATAGAGCAGCTGACTATATTTATACAAAAAGAAGAAAAAGAAAAAAGAGTTTGTCATAATTGACACCAAGAAAGTACTCCTAGGTGAAGTGGCAGACCTATCCCCAGTCAATAAAGGGAAGAGGTGGATATCCACCCTCTGGAGGAGGCTTCAGGGATGGAGGTAAATTTCCCAGTGAGATTCCCATGCTGTCTCTGACCATATCACCTGCTACAACAACTAAGAATATAAGATAAAATAATTCAAGCTAGAAATAGATAAAGAGAATTAAAATAATCAAACAGCTCCCAACTAGGATTGCAAATGAACCGAGCTATTCACGAACAGCCCAGATTCAGATTGTTTTAAGTTCAACTCGAGTTCATTCATTAAGTAAAACAACAGATTCTGGGCTGTTCGAACAGCCCAGAATCAGCATGTTTTACATGTGTTTGTAATTTGTTATTGAAAATATTATGTTACTAAATGAGCCAGGCAATCTTAACACGAGCTCAAACTGAGTCTGACCAAAAAAACATGATTGAGCTCGGCTAATTTTATTAAACAAGCACAGTGAAGCTATTCAAAATCATGAAAAGTAGAACCCAAGCCTATCTTTTTGAGCTTGCCACGATCCCAAGCGGAGCTTGAGCTGAGCCCACAAACAAATGAGCCTATTCCGAACAGATTGAAGCTCGGCTTAGCTTAGCTCATTTGCAGCTCTACCTTCAACTGATGCAGGAAATTGAAGGCATTGGTCTTGTGCATTCCGAAATATGGTTCAAGATCCCAATGATCAAAACTATCACCAATGCCAATACTTGCCTAGCAAAGAGGCGCCTCCAACTAGTTGATTCCTCGGAACGCTAGGTGACTGAATATTATCTGTGCAGTTTATGAAGAATTGTCAGATCAAATAAATTATAAAATTTGACTCATCAATTGTCTTGACCCATAATAATAATAATAATAATAATAATAAAGAATAAGGAAAATAAAATCCTTTTCAAATATCCTGGTCTCATGTTATAAGATTTTTCTAAAATTATGGATTTCCAAATCAAAAGGGACATTCGTAATACCATCAACCAGAGCTAATTTGGACCATGAAATTAACATAACTCAGAACAGTATTTCTATGAAAAGAGCAGAAAGGGGGATCAAAGAGAGAAGGAATAATAAGAAGACAGAGATTACCTGCCATGCCCTGTGCACTCGAACTTTGAGAGTTCTGCTTGGGATGGAAATATTTACAAGAATCCCCATACTGGCAAGATCCCTGAGCATGAGAAGGAAATGAATGAACATAATAATCCAGACCAGAGTAGCATACTAGAAGCCAAAGTAAACTCTTCTTTGTTCATAATTATGTATAAAAAACAATAATATAAATAGCCCACGAATCAACACCCAACAAATAGTTGATGGGACATCTCTTTCACACAAAATTTCTTCAATAAAGCACACAAACTCATATACCCATTGAATTAGACTGTATGCAGCAATAATCTAACAAGTAGTTTAAAACTAGATAATCCATAGATGAAAATCAATGGATTCCAATGAATGGACATATGCATGCTCTTTTAAAACATGCCATATAGAAAGAAAACAAAACAAGTGGTAAAAAAACAAACAAAAAACAAATGAGATCTTTACAAAATGGTTGATTATATATTTTATCATATCAATTTTTACACTTCAAAGGAAACAAAAGAGAGAGAAGAAAAACAAAGAGAGAACGAGAGCAACAAATGATTCAACATACAGCTCATAAAGTGAAATCTCAAGCGCTAAAAATCCTCTCACAACCCGAGAGAGAAAAACCTAAAGAAGAATCTCTTTCACTTTAACAAATATTGAAACAACAAATATAGTCTTGTCCTGATTAATTCCCTGATTAATACTACATATGTGTTTACAAGAACCGTTCAGCCACTTTGGTGTTGCTTATGCTCAATTAGCAATCAAGCCAACTTGACCTCCAATCTGCCCCATTTGGGCAGGTGATCTCAACCCAGCTGTAGAAAGGGCAAACTTGAGCTAAATTTTGAAATGCCTCATCCATTTACCAGACCCATTGTATGTTGGGAGTTACCACCTTATAATGATTATAACAAATAGAAATTGCCATAACCGTCAAGACGAAGTGCAAATATCTACGTAGTATAACCAGCAGCTTCTGCATATCCTTAAACAATTGATCAATCACCCCAAGGGGTTGGCTTAAGTGGGTAAGTCACTTGGCCCTGGTGCCTCGTGAAGCTTCAGGTGTAAGGTTTGACTCCTCTTGGGTGTAAACAATTCCTTGTGAATGTGTGTGTGTGTGTTTGGGGGAAGGGGAGGGGGAGGGGTGAGTATCAACTAGTAAAAAAAAAAAAAAATCAATTGATAAATCTCTAGAATTTCATAAGAAGCATTCTCATCCTTCTATAGACTATCTAAAAAAGTTGCTAGGGGTGGCAATGCAATATTATCTCTGCTGATGTATACTATAAGTAAACATTTGTTTGGTCTCCTTTTTGATACTCAACTCTTAAGGAGGAAAAAAAGGGTCAGGTTTCTCCTAGTGAACACAGAATGGATGATAATACTGTCCCCATTGAGACATATCACTAAGTGTCTCCTTAAGAAAAAGTACAATTGTGTTCACGCATGTCATATATTTAACCACACTTATCTAGATATAAGCCTGGGTGTTCTTGACCACAAGGTACCTTCAACCATGCCAACGTGCTCGTCTCTTGACCATAAGATGTTTTCAAAACCACTCTCATGAGAGCTTTCTAGAAATAAGTAATTGTACAATATGTAAGTATCAAATCCTAAGTTTTTGGATGGGATTTGAAATGGGTAAAATTTGGGATTTGAAATCCCATCGATTCTGAATCCCATTTTAAATTCCGTTGTCAACGCAAATTCCTAACAATCCCGTTTCCAAATCCAAATCCCTTCATTCCAAACACAGTTGAAGCAATTTTCTTTTATCTTTTCCTTTTTTAATTTTTTAAAAATAATAATAATAATAATAATAATACATAGAAATAAAACTATAGGCCACTCTGCTTGGGAAATGTATAGTATGAGATGAAATAGGTGCATAAATCGTAAGTCGTCATTTACATGCCAAACTTTACAGAATTGCTATCACTGTATCATCCAAATAATATATATTGCTCGGTTTCATCCCAACAATTTAATAATTTCTGGAATTTTTTTTAAAATATTCCCCAATCACGCCACATATTCAGCAAACCCAAAACAAATATCAGGCATGAATAGACTGCTTATATATATATATATATATATATATATATATATATATAGAGAGAGAGAGAGAGAGAGAGAGAGAGAGAGAGAGAGTAATTTCACAAAATAAAAAAGTGAATATCATGCCGAAGACGAGAAAGGTGAAAATTTTCTAACGTGAAACACCAAAAGCAATCAGAAAACAGAATAGAAATACAGAACCACAAATCAAAGTATGACAAACATTAATACACAAATGCGCACATAACATTAAGATTGGAGAGTGGTACCGTTCTGACGAAGCGATTGCAGACTCCTTTTCCAAAGGACTCCGGATGAATGCTGTTGGGATCTGCTAATATACACACACACCAAAAAAAAAAAAAAAAAAAGGGAAAACTAAAATAAACATACAGAGCTCGGAAGTGACACACATATATATCAAAATTAGGGTTTGAAGTGCAGCTGAAGACCTCTTAAGGAGTCGTACCAGAGAGCTTTGGCTCTCTTGTGCTGAAGACCTTCGAGATGGCGCTTCCTAGCGTAAGGCGTGTCCTGAAATTGTTTGTCGCAGTAGTCGCAGTAGTACTTTCCCAATGGCATTTTCCTTTTCCTTCCTTTTCCTTTCCTCTCCTCCCTATTGTTTCTACTATTTTTCAGAATGCTGGTATTTCAAATGTTTCGCTGGACTTGGACCTTCCAAATTTGGGTAATTGGGTCTCTCCAAGTCCAATAACAATCTGAGTTTCGAAACCTGGTTGAATGAGTGCTAAATCTGATACGTCAATAGCAAACGGACCATTGTTACAAGGTCCGGTGATTCTGATGGGAAGTAATTTGGTATATATAGGTTGTGTGTTAGCACGTAATAGCTTAAGTTTTTTAGTCAAATCGCGAAGCACTGATCCGTTACGGTTGGTTTTAGAGTCGATCCTTGATCCGGAGTCATGCCAAGTGTTTAGTTCAGAGATATCCTGGGTACATACCCGGGTATGTAGGGTGGCCCAATCACTACGAGACTCGAATGACCCAACTGCAATTAGGGTGTTGCCAGTGGAGTTCGGGTGGGGGAGAGTAAAGTTGGGGTGGGAAAGAATGTTATAAGGGGAGCCTTGTCCCACCTAGAATTATGTTGAAAAGGAAGCGTGTTTGTCATTCAACCCAAAAATGAATCCATTTCAAAAAAAAATTCTTGTCAATATGTCAGACATGATAAGATAATGTAGCAGTTCAGGAACTCCCCTGGGCAAGGCCCCTTAGGGACCCACCCCAAGTTACAAACCTGTGCCACGCGCACCGGCCCCTCAACATGCACAGCAGTCAACCATCATAGCTATGCCCCGGGGGCTAGCAGTTCAGAATGTTGCCTTGAACTATCCATTGACGCCACGATTAGATTGTCATCTTTTAGTTTCTTTGTATTGCCTTTAACCGTCCATTGATGCCACGATTAGATTGTCATCTTTTAGTTTCTATTTTTAATTTCTTTGTACCTTATGTTCTTGATGCATACGTATTGTTTCAAATTTTTTTGTGTTTCTTCCGTTATTTGTTCCGGCTTTATAGGCTGTTTTTCCATGTGACTTTCCATTTGGAACAATGAAGATGCATGCAGTACAATTGCAAAACATGACTCTCCATTTGGGGCTCTTGTTATTACATCACATCATCACATTGCTTTCTAGGCTACTACTAATGGACCCTTCACTTTGAATACATTTTTACAATGTATCATCAAACATATTTTCAATTTATTTCTGAAATACAATTTAAGACGGAATTCATTCCTTCTCTCCCATTCACAATTAGTCTCTCTCTGCACATCCATGTAATATGACAAGGAAGACACACTCCATTTCCAATCACCCTCACTCGCTAATTGCGCTGTTGTTGCCTGTTTCAGGACACCATTAAAGACTGCACATGCCAAAAACCTATATAACAAGTCTACTCCAGATCGCGCTGTTAATCTCCTAAACTACACTGGAAACCCAATATCAAATATATTTAGACAGATGTTCATACTTATCCATGTAATGTTACAATATGTTGGAGATACAGAAACAGGGTAATCATAACACCCAATGAGGCTTGGGCAAAATTAAGTCGCATCATTTCCTAAATCTGCTTTTACAAAACAAGATAATACAAATTCGAAACATTAGAAGGGGGGAAAAAGAAAGAAAGAAAGAAAAAGAACATATGGGCATAGATAGAGAGAAGAAACACAAAGCTTTCCATATGGAAATACTCGTTGATTTGTAACATTCTTCATCAAATCACAACGCAAGGAAGGGGCACTGCTTTCGAGCATGCTCTGGTATTAATTTCACCAGAATCTCCACTGGCACCCCCTTCAACTCTGGAAGGCACAACAATACCGATAAAAATGACTCAAACGTTTATAGGACAACAAAGATAATGTGAGAAACAATTTAATGAGTTCATACCATGAGGCTTAAAGTTAAATAGTGGAGGGAGAAATCGTCCATTTGGCAGGCGCATATTCGGATCACGTAGCTCGTCAAAAAAGGAGTGGGTCAAAGCATCCAGCTACATTAAAACCAACCCCATCAAGTTACTAATAGAATAATTAGCACAAAAGGATGAATAGTAACAGAGAACCTAACATAGCTATTTTATCACCCTGTATAGTTTAAAATCATGAAATGAGTATATAACATTGTAGCAACCGAGCAGACAATCAAGTTCAATAGAGAAAATGTTTTCACAGCCAACTTCAAGTGGTAGGATGAACAAATTTAACTAAATAAGCTGTGGCACATTCCATTTCGAATCCAAAAGAAATCTGTATCGGTGCAATAACCAATTGTCCTTAGTGCACCCTCCCCCCCCCGCACCCTCCCCCCCCCCCCCCCCCTCCTCTCTCTCTCTCTCTCTCTCTCTCACTCAGGTTTTATGAAAATTTCTAAGATTACAAATAAATTGTCTTGTATAGGAATATTATCATCAACTTCCACTTCATAGATAATAGGAATTATGCCTCTGAATAAACAGAACAAAATAGGTAGTCTAAGAATAGAATAATTCCCATATGGCACCAATGACATGCTTCTGTTTAGATTCTTATACATCAAATGCATGACAAATGATATATATGAACAACCTCTCAGCATCCCCCACCCTATAAAAACCGCTAAAGGAAAAGAAAAGGAAAAGTAGTGAACCATGTGTGATTCTTTAACATCATTAAATAGTTTGCTAAAATCTAATACTATGACAAGCAGTCATGTGAACATAATCATAGCCTAGCCCGTGAAGAAAAGAAAGCAAAGCAAAGAAGATCCTTGCTAGGACAGATGCTAGAGGAAAAAAGAAGATGGTAACTAAATTAAAGAGAGAGATTTCACTCACAGCTGTGCACCGTAGGTTAGGAGAGTACTGCAGCAGTCTTGAAACTAGATCAACAGCTTCTGGAGGCATGCGTTTATGGAATATCTGATAAGAAAAGGAAATGATTATATATACTAATACATCGCGAGGCAAAGAAAAAACTAGTGCAAGAAAAACAAAACACTAGTACTAGCAATTTCTGGTTCCTATTACCTTGTGCCACGGATGAGCTTTAATTTGTGGAAATTTAAACTCTGTATAGTTGGGATTCATGCATTTAATCTCCTCCCTTGTTGGCGTACCCAGTACCTGCAAAATTCACATAAAAAGTGTCAGACAAAATGAATGAACACTGTCACGTAACATGAGAAACTAAAAGATGCCATCCTCGGCAAAGAATGATAAGATATTGAAAGCATCCATCATTATTTGCCAATCCAACATAAAGAGAGCCACTTTCCGTGTCATTATCAACCCAAACTTACTCGGAAATTAACGTGCTTGTTTCAGGTCATTCACAAGATTCAGTACCAACCAATGGCATACAATGAATCAACTGCTGGTTTGTTAATCTATATGTCCAGATCCGAGCATTAGGAAAAACATAATCTGTTCACAGATGGCAATTCCCAGCAGCAACAAGTGCACCGAGTTTGTAAAAAAAAAAATTTGGTTTCACCGTCCAAACCACAAAGTCCTCTCCCAAATTGATTAATTTGTTGCTACAAAGATTTATAATGCACTGGAAATATATATATATATGTATATATATATATATATATATATATAGAGAGAGAGAGAGAGAGAGATTTATTACCTTGATAATCTCAACAAGTTGGTCAACTCCACTCTCACCTGGAAATAAAGGCTAAAAAAAAAAAAAGGAAAGTTTAATCTAAAACACATCATGAAGTTCAGGGATTCAAAGTTCAAAAGAACTTGAACACAAACCATCTACCTACCTGTCCAAGAAGCAGCTCAGCAAGAACACAGCCAGCAGACCAGATGTCAATAGCCGAGGTATACTCAGTTGCTCCAAATATAAGCTCGGGTGCTCTATAATACCTAGAGCATATGTAAGAAATATTGGGCTCCCCCTTTACCTGTCAAGAAACAGCAGTCAGCATTCCAACCAAAAGCCAAAATGACAGTAATATCAACAAGAGCGCAAGAAAGCTGGGAACAAACCAAAACTTTAGCGCTTCCAAAGTCACATAGTTTGAGCTGGTGGGTATGTGGATTCACCTGCACAAGGATACAGAGATCTTAGATGCAAAGTGCTGTTAAGGTGCTGGGAGAAATGTATATAAAGTGGGCCGCAGGAGATAATAGTAGAATTGTGAAAAGCATACTGACATAAGAATAAGACATAAGTTTATTTCCCAAGACAAGGCTCAAAATTTAGGCTTAATGTTGTTCTGAACATCGTTTAAAAAAGTTTTTTTTTTTAATATTCGTCAATTTCCCAAACTCGTTAAATTGTTTACATTTTTCCGAGTTAAATAAAAATGAAATCTAATCACCACAATCATTACCTGCCCGTAACTACTAAAACTAAATCATTCGTTATTTCCTCTGGATGGTGATAAGAAATAAATGGAAATCCACAACACTATAGGTTGTGGGCAATAATTTCCTAACAGTGGTAATATCCCAGTGATTTACGCATTTGAACACTCTTCCCAAACAAAATGGGAACACTCTATGACTCTAAGATGCCAAACAAAACCTAGGCCTCTTTCCAGATTCCTACGTGTATAAATTTCCACACATTTCAGGCTGGAACATGGTTGTAAAAGTGCCTGTACTATATAGGAATAATAGGACGTGGATAATTCTAGTCCATAAACTATATTGGGGACATGGTGAACCAATAGTCTAATATGCGGTAGGGCAAGCAATGTTAAGACTAATTTATCAAATCACATGCAAACAAATGAATAAATAAATAAGCATACCAAAAGATTTTGAGGCTTGATATCCCGGTGACATACTCCAATACTGCGATGAATGTAAGACAACGCCCTGAAGATCTGCCAAAAATCAGCAACACATCATACTCTACAAGATTAACTTAAACACATCATACTCTACAAGATTAACTTCCAACACATTATACTCCACAAGATTAACTTTTGAATAAATCAATCCTCTGACGGGATAGTTGTGTCTGTGTTGCTGTTGGGTGTGGGGGGTAAGAAACCCAAGCAAAACAATAAAACGACAATTAACGCTCATCATCCAAGGGTTGTAGCCCAATGACACTTCCTCAACTTCCAAAGTAGAAGGTTAAGAATTGAGTCCTCATAGGGGTATGTGGGGGTGAGTTCCTTGCCAAGACAAAAAGTAAAAAAATCAAATTTCAAAATAAACCACCAATGGTGTTTCATGCTATCATCAATAACATTAACAGCATAATGAAAATTTGAAGGCAGTTCAAAATATTCAAACCATCAACAAAAACTTCTCTCTCTTGAAAAGTCAATAGAAGGGAAGACATGCATTAGATCATACAAGGAAGATCAGATCTAGTTAAGAAACATGTTGCGGGCTTGGTCGGATGAGGTTGTTCTGTATAGAAGATATGTGCAGCTTTTGAAAAGAAAGGGATCAATTTGCATATACATGAGCTTGTCAAGATCTCAAATGTAGTTCACATAGGAAAAGAGCCAAAGATACAACTAAAAATACCACATCCACCTAAAATTTCTGAGAATAAAAAGATACCTGATATGTGTACAGCTTCACATATATCAATGGCATCCTCTGGTTCAACTTATTGTAGTGTTTAATTACACGGTGAACAGTCTCAGGAACATACTCGAGTACCAGATTAAGATAAAGTTCATCCTTTTCAGTTGTAGAAAAGAAACAATGCTTCAAAGAAACAACGTTCGGGTGGTCAAGAAGACGCATGGTTTGTAACTCTCGATTCTTGTATCTCTTGTCTTGAAGAACCTTCTTTATTGCCACAGTTTCACCTGTCTCTAAGCACTTCGCCTAAAGAAAGAAAGTGATCAGCATATAACAGCATCGTAATTGTGGTGTATGAGGAAAATTATATTAATAAAAAACCTTACCTGGAACACAACTCCAAATGATCCGTGTCCGACAACACGCTCAGCCATGTAGCTAATAGTCTAAATTTTTTAACAGAGAAGCTTGAATTAGAGGAAAACATGTTTAATTGATAAAATTGAGAAAAATAATAGTAACGTAAAAAATCTCCCATACCAACTAGAGAATGATCTTGAGAGACAATAAACAGTGATGAAGCATGACTAAAATGGTGAGACCTTGTGTATCGCGTAATGAAGACCAAAGGTGGATACTCTATAGCACACCAGTTAAGTTTTACATTTACTTTGTGTGGAAGGTTAAGCATGCAATGTTGTAACGAAATTAATTTGTTTAAATAATTATAACGTTTCAGATTCTTTTCATCTCAGACAAGAAAACTTAATAGCAAATAAAATGACAAGGTAATACGGAGTTCAACATGCCCGCTAATTCTATAAAAACGAGTGATCCACTAAAAATTTTTTAAATATATATACTGTAACAGAACTCAGAAATCAAGGAATTAATATAGTTCAGGGTGTAAATAGCACAAAAATAATGAACAATCTAAAATAGTTCCTCAAAAACACGCTGATAAGACGTTAAAAGTAGTCATGAATAATAAACAGCTGCTGCAAATACCTGCTTCGGTTGGCCATTTCGACCACCAATTGTTGTCACTATTATATGACCTGTCTCTGTTCCATTACCATCAACAACTGTGGCCTCCATTTCCTAAAAATAAAGAACATCTATATCAACTGATGGCAAATAATAAACATAAAATAGTAAACACACACTTGGTAGCAAGAAATCGTGTGGCACAGCATGGAAACAGGCAAGGTCATGAACACACATGCAAAAGAGAACTAGAGAGTAAAAAGAGATACAGAAAGAGACTTTAAATCAAATGTACCTTATCATCCCTAATTTTCATGTCATTCAACTCCTCAGGTAATCTATCAACACCACCAGTATGGCCACTGGATTCTCTCAAACCAGACGCCGGTGCTACACCCACAGAAGCCATTTGCTAAAAACTTTGATCACTGTTACACCCTAACAAGTCATTTACCTGCTGAAATGGATATGATATTAATAAACTTATCTTAAACAGCAAATTATGTACCAGAAACATAATTATTCTTTCTTTGTTCTCTCTCTAATTAATGAAGTATCCACTTATATTTAATTAATTGAGAAAAAATAATAAACAAAATATAATCCTGCAGAAATTAAAAAGGAATTTAATAGACAGGAGTTAAAATGACAACAATCAAGCCATATCAGAAGTTATGAATACAATAACACAGAGAAAATATCTGAAGTGGAAAAAAGTGAATGAAAATCCAAAAAATAATAATAATAAAGAAATAAAGGAGCTGTTAGACCGTACATATATATAATAAAAATAAAAGATAGAGAGGCACCCATTATTATTGATATCAATTTCTTATACAGATGAACTTGTGATCATTCCCCTCAAAGGAAAAGTTTGCCCTCTAACTGTGACCTCCCATTGCAGACAAGTCTAGACTCGACCCACCAGGAAGTACAGTGAGCAAAATATAACAACCAACACACTTGCTGCTGTTCACAACATTTCCTGGAATTAACTTGTCTTAACAAGTAAAAATTAAGCATAAATTAAAAGGAAAAAAAAAAACACTTCTTCAAGTGTCTGTTTGAGAGAGAGCATGAATAAAAATTATAGGATCTATTCATACACCATAGAAAGGGAAGTTCAGAAAACATAAATACACAGTAACAAGGATGTATTCCAAACTTTGTATATAATAATTAAATTTGATACATGCATATACACACACACACACACACACACACACAAAAAAAAAAAAAAAAAAAAAACTTCCAAGAGACAAGTTTAAAAGAAAACATAAAAATAACAAATCTTAAGAACAGAAAACGAAGATCTTCACGAAATCAAAAACAGGAAACAAGATCGATACACCGAAAAAAAAAAAAAAAGATGTGCAGATCCAGATCAACAAACCCCGAAAACAAGATCGCAGTCAACATTCTCCGATCCGGAATCCGAACACAAAACCCTAGAAAACCAAGAGAGAACCGCAGGGAAGAGAATCGTACCGATCGAATCAGAACCCTCCCCGGAGATTAAGAACGAAACAATCAAATCATCGATCTGATAGTTGTGAGAATTAGTGGTGCAGATGAGAGCATGTCATGTCCGGAAAAGAGAGAGGAGCCTAACAAAGAGAGAGAGAAAGAGGTGGGTATATTTATTTACTACTAGTACGTATTTTCATATAATAATACATACACATATAGATATATGTATGCGTGTGTGTAACTGTGTGTTTCTTTTGTTTTTGTTTTTGTTTTTGCGTTGGCTTTCTGTGTGGTGCAATAATGTGCTGTTGACAGTCACAGACGAAAACCCTGTTTAAAAAATGGTTTTGTGTGTGTTTTAAAACTTTCTTTGATTTGTTTTGAGTCTTTGTAAGCAAGTACTGGTTGTTGTTATAGCCTTTTTGACCGTTCAAACTCAACTTTAAATTTTTACCATTTAAAGAAGAGAGAAAGGAAAAGGAGCCACAAAAATGTACAAAAGGGCAATCATTGTGGGTGGCCATTGAGCAAAATGGGGCACCTATCCTTTCCAATAAGGGCACAATTTGAGTGGGATTTCTATTCATGGAGGTTAAGGACGGTGAACTAGTGAAGTGTACATTACAATTGTCTATGTTCAAGACAAATAATCTCACCATGCTTGTTTCTAATTCTCGTAAAACAACTAAATCTAATGTTAGCTTTTTCTTTGTCTATGAATAGGATTGGTGTTACACGTGAAACTTGTACCACGTTCGATTTGAATGAAAGTTGAAGTGTACATAAATGAGTGGGTATGTAATGTAATACTTCTCAACAGCTTAAATTTTTAAATAAATAAGCAAACGCCCACCCACCCTTGGTATCATATTTAGGTTCAATCATTAATTCGATGTTACCGTATAAATAAATTGGTATATACTATTACCAAACAAATTGAGTTTTTAAATAAATGAATGCGTATTTCAATTACATCAAAGGCCTTAGGAATTTAGTCCAATTTCGAATAAGAGAATGGTAATCAAATTGTATGAGTGGAGACTACTACAACTGTTAAGTTTTTGAATGTGATGGGAGAACCTTATTTGATAAATAAAATATTTCATTTTAATAAAAGTAGTTACATTCAATAGTAAAAATTATTTGATTTATATTTATTCTCTGCTTTTAATTCCATAAGTGGGAATCTCTTTAGTTATTAATTATTGTTTCTATTATTATGCACATTTGGGGTTACTATTGTACATCCCAAAAATGCTTTCAATTTAAAAATTATCTTCAAGTGTATTTTATCACAAAACAAATAAAGACGGAAATCAAATAAATAGTAATTTAAAATTAAACTACTTTTACGCAGTAGATGAGTTTTTTTGGATAGAGAGATTTTAACCAAAACTAAAATTTAAACTTTTTTTTTGGTAAGTTTGGGTAAATAAATATATATATATATATATATATATATTTACATCATCACCAAACACTAATTTATTTTTCAAAAGTAATACTTTTTTTTGATAGCTCTACAAATAAAGTGATATAGCTACAACAATGTCAAATGGACTCTTATACTAGTTTGTTTTTCTTAGTGTAAATATTTTATTTTATGTTGTATTTGGAATAAGGGGAGTAACAAGAAGCAAAATTCCCATAAGAAAAAAAATAAGGGAAGAAATTGTTGCTTTGAAAAGAGAAAAGTTGATGTAAGAGAAAATGAAGTAAAAATTGAAAAAGAGAAAGGAGAAGAAAAATAAACTGCAATTATTCTAAAATTTTAAATAAATAAATATATATATATATGTTACACACATATTAAATTCTCTGAGAAACATGTGATTTCGATATTGATCTACCACGTAATTAAATATGCTAACTGTATTGATTGGGTGACCAAATATGTTATCATCCCGTCCTTTCTAATAATATCTTATATTAATTTACCTTTGATCCAATCTTATATCTAATCATACCATAATGTATTTGATCCCATTGTAAAAAAAAAAAATATATATATATAGTATAAAGTAATGAATTAAGGAACATAAATTTCAATAAAATCAACCATGGAACCTAAAATCATCTCAGAATACATTTGTCTATTGTACTTTTTTTACACAAATAATGAAAATTTTATCTAAATTATCCTAAGTTGAATTCTATGCAGATTAACAGGTGACATTTAAAATCTATCTATTACTTGTGTTAAATCACGTCAACTAACCTAAAGAAAGTTTGAACTGCATCGTTTTAAAATAAGAAAAATTTACTATACTTTAACAACGTTATCTTCATTCTCCCTCCTTATCTTTTCGAAAAAGATTGCTCCCTCTCTTTGCTCTTGCTTATTCCCAAAATTGGGGATTGGGGGAATAATTAAGCTGGATTTTGCAGTTAAATTTTTTTTTTTTTTTTTAAAGGTAATTTTGCAATTTAGATTTTTTTTTAAAAAAAAAAAAGAGTGAAAAAAGGGAGGAATTTTGCAATTTGGGTTCAGAAAAAAGAGGAATTTTGCAGTTTAAATTTCAAAAAAGAGAAAAAATTTGCAATTTAAATTTCAGAAAAAGAGAGTGAATCAAAGCTTCTTAGGATCTTTCAGCATATTTTAATTGATAGCCCAATATTTTTAACATTTCTGAACACCACCCATAAATTTGCATTTTGATTTCTTCAATTTTTGACCCAAATTGCATCTTTTGCTACTCCCCATTTTCAAAAAAATCATTTCTGCCATCATTTTCAAACAGTTAGTGCAACCCGTCCCATGGCAACTCCAAGGTGGCACGAAGGGTATCTCCCCCTTAACATCACATTTGTTCTTCCTCTTTTTGTAACAAATTACCAAAGCATAGAGACAAATAAAAGAAGTAGATAAAACATTCAAACATGTCATTAAAGCAAAAGGACTGTTAGGGTTATTTTGGTCCACTAAATTGGCATTATATTTACATAAAATCATGGAGGGTAATTTAGGCATTATATTTTATCAATTTGAAAGCAGAACCGGGACAACTTTTTCTCTCTTCGATGCGGCAAAAATTGTACAGCTTCTATAGAATGATCTAGAAAGTCTTAGATACTTCAAAAGTTCAAAACGCCTGATGGTTCAATAGATAAATATAAAACCAGGCTTGTTGCTAAAGGATACAGGCAAGAAGAAGGCTCGGAGTATTTTGATACATATTTACCAGTCACAAGAATAACATCCAATATATTTAAGGGTACAGTGCAAAAAACGCATTTCGACTATTAGCCATGTACAATTAACCCCCTGAACTATAATTTACCCCATTGAACTATTGAATTTGGTGCAATTAACCCCCAATGTGACATCTCCGACCAATTAGTGTAAACGAAAATAGTAAAAGACAATTTTATCCCTTACATAAAACTACGTCGTTTCCAAAAAAAAAAAAAAAAAAACTTCAGACCGGCGTTCAGTTCCTTTTTCATCTTGGACCTCCAAACCAACCAAATCCGACCCTCACCGACACGTGGTGTTCTTTTGTTCAGTTCCTCCCGACGGCACCCTCCTACAGACCGGCAACGGCGTCGACGACATCCAAAAATTTCATAAATTCGTGCCTTGTGAATCCATGGCGCTCTGCAATTGGATTGAACTTCAAGATGTCGAATAAGCCGAGGATCTGGTTGCCGCCAGAAGAGAAGAAGAAAGGCGATAGTGATGCAGCGGCGAAACCTAATTCTGCTGCAGTCGACGGTGGCGGCGGGCGACATATTGCTATGAACAAGATGAATACTGAGAGATAAATACTTTTTTCCAGAAGATTTCCCAATATATCATTCCAAAATCCAAATCAAAACAGATGACAAGAGCCACTGACATTCACTCTTACAAACAAACTGGAATAGACATACGTGAAAAAGAAATACACAGATGCACTGATGAGCATGAGTGATTGGAAGAGTGGGTGACTGATCATCTCACGTCAAGGTCGAGAAAGGGCTATATCGGACAACAAGATTAACAGTATAAACACAAGAATTCCTCCAAAGGATCCGATCAAAGAGCCAGAAGTGCGCTCATAGAAGGATTGGAATTGTTGGCAAACGACAAACCAGATCCACTGCCACCGGATCGGCTCTACAACAACCTCCACCTCCATCTCCATCTCCATCTCCAAGCTTGTGCACCTCACGGCCAAGAGTCATCCATCTATACGACCGGCTTTCACCGAATCCACGCCGACCAAGAGCTCAACACACAGCCGCCAAATCTATTCTCACAACTCTCTTCTTGTCTCCGCCAAATCCGCTGTGAGCTCGATCCACCATAGTCGGATCTGTTCTCACCGGCTTTTCACTGCCATCAACATCCTCAAGCTTGCCGCGCTACAAGTCCAAGTCCAAGACCCAGATCTATCTCACCGGTCATTTCCATCCTCACAGCCGGATCTGTCTCGCCGGCCATCTTCAGCCTTGAAGGTGTAGTTGTGGGGACGGATCGGACGGTGGTGATGGTATCATCTGTTTTATTGTTTTGGGTGTAAAGGTAAAGGGTTGTATGGTCATTTAAAGAAATTTGGGTTGTCACGTGACCCATCACGTGCGTCTTCACGGCCAAATTCAACCGGCTGATCACCGGATGGGGTTAATTACACCAAATTGGCTAGTTCAAGGGGCTTATATGTTAAATTAATAGATCATGGGGATTTTCTGTAAAATGGCCAATAGTTGAAGGGGTTTTTTTGCACTTTACCCTATATTTAATATATTCTGAAGTGCGCTAGTATTACTAAAACTTTTTTAATACGCTTAGACCCACCATTCCAAATAATTAAATGCAATAAGAACTCATTACATGACTTGTGGTTATCTTTGTTTTATTTAATTTTTTAATTACGTAACAACTTGTTATTTGACTGAGACCACATGGTCCCGGCTCGTTCATGGTGTAGATGACATGACACCCCTTCTTTGTCAAATGTCTTGTCCCCGTGCGTTACAACTCCGGTTGTGGGTCTTGCCTGGGACTTCCCGGCCTATAAAACTGAAAAATTTCGAAAATACATTTATGTATATCGATTAAGTGAGGAGAGAAAAAAAAGTATAAATAAAAAATTTATAGTTATGTGACTTCTAGGAGAGAATATAGGATAAGATGATGTGAAAGGCTTAAGTGTAGATCTAGCCAATTATGGAAGAGGTGGATGTGGTCATAAAACCCTCCAGTAAGATCTAAACATATCTCCATATCGTGGAAAATATTCCCCCAATAGTGAGAATGAGCAAGAATAGAGAGAGGGATCAAATTTTTTT